AAAGTAGAGGAAGATGGGCATGGATGTTAGCCCAGGGCCAGTCTTCCTCAGCAAAAAGAGGAAGATTGGCAGATGTTAGCTTAGGGCCGATCTTCCTCACAAAAAAAAAAAAAAAGAGTAGAGAGCTAAAATACAGATTAGAAGCTCTGTGTTGGAGGTGGGGAGGGGTTTTTGAGCCTCACTGCTGAGTGACCTGGCTAGGTCATTTGTTGGGAAACTTTCAATTTCAACAACTTTAGGTCTTTTCTCTTGGGCTAGTCAGATTCTCCAAAAGACTGTTCCAACTTCCTGCTGCGAGAGGGCAGAGGGCAGGGGATGGAGGGATGGATCACAGCCTTGGTATGCATCCATTGACATAATCCCTGTTTTCAATACAGAACTGTGGCTCTCAACTTTGTTGTAATGTATCTGTATTAGTTTCCTAGAGCTGCCATAACAAAGTGCCACAAACTAGGTGGCTTAAAACCACAGAAATTTATTGTCTCAGTTCTGGAGGCTAGAAATCTGAAGTCAAGGTGTCAGCAAGGCCATGCTCTTTCTGAAGACTCTAGGAAGAATCTGTTCCATGCCTCTCCCAACTTCTGGAGGTTGCCAGCAATCCTTGGAGTTCCTTGGCTTGTACATTCATCACTCCAATCTCTGTCTTCACGTGGTGTTCTTCCCTTGGTGTGTGTCTTCACATTGTCTTCCCTGTGCGTATGTGTGTCTGTGACTCTTTCCCTCTCCCTATAAGGACACCAGTCAGAATGTTTTAGGGCCCACCCTCTATGTAGATACCTACTTGGCTCTGCCCCACCTAATGACTTTAGGACTGAATCATTGGAAAGGGAGTGGGAGGGATATTAAAACATGTCCAAGTTTAAAAAAACAAACATGTCCACAAATTCTTCAACACTATTTCCACCTGAGGTGGAGTCTCATTTCTTTCTCCTTGAATATGGGCTGGCCTCACTGACTTGCTTCTAATAATTACAATGGGGCAGAAGTAACACTGTATGACTTCTGAGGCCAAGTCATAGAAGGTAACATAGCTTCTGCTGGACTCTCTGACACATGCCTTTGGATACCTGAGCTGTCATATAAAAAGTCTTGCTACTCTGAAGCCACCATGCCAGAGAGACCAGACACATAACCAGAGAAGTACCCAAGGATTCCTGAATGTTCCAGCTCTCAGTTGTCTGAGTCTACTCAGCCCAGGTGTCAGATATGAGTGAAGAATCCATCGAGAGGACACTAGTCCCAGCCATCATCTGACCACAACTGTAAGAGAAACCCTGAGTGAGTACTGTCTCCCCAAGCCCAGTCAATTTCCAGAACTGTGCAAGATATTAACAATAGATGCTTGTTATTGTTTTATACAACTAAGTTTGGGGTGGTGGTAATATTGGATTGGAACAGAAGGATAGGAAAAAGGCAGGAAGAAGGGGGAGGAGGGGCAGGGGAAGAAGAGAAAAAGAAGTACATAATTTTTATAAAAATAAAAAATAAATTTTAAAAAATTACAAGGGGTAATGTGGTTAAAATATTTAAGACAAATTACAAAAATGCCAGTGAACTTGATGGTAACTGGAAGATTTTTTTGTGTGTGAGGAAGATCAGCCCTGAGCTAACATCCATGCCCATCCTCCTCTTTTTGCTGAGGAAGACTGGCCCTGGGCTAACATCTGTGCTGATCTTCCTCCACTTTATGTGGGACGCGGCCTCAGCATGGCCTGACAAGCAGTGCGTCGGTGCGCACCCGGGATCCAAACCCGGGCCACCAGCAGCGGAGCCCACACACTTAACTGCTAGCCACGGGGCCAGCCCGAGGAAGATTTCTTTCACATGCACTAGGAAGCTCAAATTTTCTTTTTCTTTTTTTTTTTTTTAAAGATTTTATTTATTTATTTTTTCCCCCCAAAGCCCCAGTAGATAGTTGTATGTCATAGCTGCACATCCTTCTAGTTGCTGTATGTGGGACGCGGCCTCAGCATGGCCGGAGAAGCGGCGTGTGGGTGCGCGCCCAGGATCCGAACCTGGGCCGCCAGCAGCAGAGCACACGCACTTAACCGTTAAGCCACGGGGCTGGCCCTCAAATTTTCTTGAAGTTGATAGATAAGGGTGACAATTTCATTCTTATCTTTGTCCAGTATTTTCCCTTGTGGAGATCCCAATCCAAATAGTACATTGTGAGGTAAACGTTGTAAAAATCAAGTATTTTGCTGCATACAGTGTTAAATTTCTTTAGAGAAAAAAAACCTGGGTATTTTATCTTGAAGGCCTTAACATAGAATGGTTTATGTTGCAACTGATAGAAAATCCAACTCAAAGTGATTTGCAAAGTAGGCAATTTATTGGCTCACATATTGAAGATCTAGCGGTAGAGCTGATTAACTTGCTGAAACAGGTCATCCAACGTCATGCAGACTTGCTTTCTCTTAGCTTTTTGGGGCCCATCCTCAAACCCTACGTAGTTGTTTATGAACAAGAGAAGACTATCAACCAATGGGACAAAATTTTATGAGTATGATCAATCTAAAGAAACAGAGCACGGCCAGCCCCCTGGCGTAGCGGTTAAGTGCACGCGCTCCGCTGCTGGCGGCCCAGGTTTGGATCCTGGGCGCGCACCGAGGCACCGCTTGTCAGGCCATGTTGTGGCAGCGTCCTAAAGTAGAGGAAGATGGGCACGGATGTTAGCTCAGGGCCAGTCTTCCTCAGCAAAAAGAGGAGGATTGGCATGGATGTTAGGTCAGAGCTGATCCTCCCCCCCCACACACACAAAAGAAACAATCAGTCTTACTTAGTGATTTGTCATTTACTAGAGCCGCTGCTTTCTACAGAGTAATACACTCTGAGCCTGGCACACCAAACTCACCTGGGGCAAGGAAATATGCAAACTTTGCAAGTTGGTCACTGCACTAGACTAGGATTTTTCTAGCAAAACAGTACAACAGAGTGAGGAGGACTCAGACTACGAGACAGGAGTTTGGCAAAGCGCAGGGATATCTGAAGTCGTCTCGCAGGCAGGGAAGAGAAGATACAATTTCTTGGGGCTGAATAGAAGGCGCAGCAAATTGGATTAGGCAAGAGATGAATGAATGCTCCCATGGGGCAATAATATAATTAAAAAAAATAAATCAAAAGATTGCAACATATGGTGCTCATGGCAGGTCACTTCAAGTTATGATCTTAGCCAGCATTATCCTCAACGGTTTTAACATACTATTGAACTTTCCCCAGAATTTAGACCATTGTAATGCATTTTAGATGCTGATTCTAAATCTTTAAAGATTTTTTTAACTTCATCACTTTTTGACAATGTTATGTAAGTATTTAATACGTTTCTCTAGTTTACTTTCCTCTGTAATTGAGCAGTCAACAGCTCAAGACCAAAGAGCTTCTCTCTGAGGTTAAAGATTTGCCAGTTTCAGCATATCTCATATATCCATTTCCCAGTCATGTTTATTTTAAAAAGGGCAATACAAGAAAATATTCAATAAATTATAAATCTTGTGATACACAAGATGGGAAAAACTGAACTGCTGGATGGCATCAGCTCCACCTTACAGTAACGTGAAATATTTGTCAGCTCTCGTGTGAAACTCCATACTTAATGTGTAGAGAGGGTATGAGTGTCAAAATACACAAAATTTTAAAAAGATGATTTTTTAAAGTCATAAATGGAGTCATATTATACAACTTGTTCTGCAACCTGCGTTTCCTAAACATGTACCTTCAAAAGCACTGATCTATGATGTTATATGTCAATCATACCTCAAAAACAAACAAAAAAAGGACTGACCATTATTATTATGTTTAAAAAGTTCTAGGTTTAATTTGTATTATCAATGCTAAATATCTTCTTTTTTTCTCGTGGGGTATTCACCTCCCAATGATTTGTAAAAGGTCTTTGTACATAAAGATTATTTATTCTTTGATGTGTTACAAATATTTTTTCTGAATTGGGCAGGAATCTTTTCTATTTTTTAATTCCTTACAGGTAGACGGGTAAGAACACAATTCTGGCACTAGACTATTGGGTTCAAAACCTGGATGACACTTTGTAGCTATAAAACTATGCCAAGTTAATCAGCACCTGTTACAAGTCTGTGTATGGGAACAACAGAAATTACTTCCTGAGGTTTTTGTGAGGATCAAATGATTTTTATTCACATAGGTTTAGTTCAACGTACTTAGAACAGTGCTCAGCATATATTAAGCTTTCTGTAACTGTTATCTATGATGATGATGACATATATGGAGTCACTGTATTTTTGCAGTCTTGTTTGGTAACCAAGAATTTGTTTAGAACTACTTATTTGAAAAATACATAAACCAAAAGTTTCCAAGTTCTTGTACATGTTGAAAACTTCCAATAAAGATCTCTTGGATATAAAATATGGTCCAAGTGGCTCAAAATTAATTCTATGATATAATATTATTCTAAAATCATACTTATGTTGAAAGCCTAAAGTTTTTTTTATGGCAATAAAACAGTACCATTAAGTTGAAATTTTTTATTTTGTTAAAATGTACAAATAGAACCTAACAATCCACATTCTACAGTTTCTAAACGTTTAACCACTGATGATTTCCATAAGATGCTGTTGTTCTTAATAGCTCAGATGCCTGATCTTCTGTGAAAGCCCAACTTGCCTTCCTTTCTATCCATCAAATTAATTTGTCTTTTCAGAAGTCTTGCCGGATATTTTCTTTGTTTGCCTCTCCATGTTGCTGCTTGATTTGAAAAATTTCATTTTCTAATTGCACAATAGTCCTTTCAATCTCATAATTCTTACTGACCAGGGATACCCAACTAGAAAAGAAAAAAAAAAAGGAAAAATTACTCAATGTAAAATTTCTCTTAGCAGATTTTATCTTATATACATTTTCAGCCAGGGCCATAACACTAACCTTCACTTTTAACTTTCCATTTTAAAAAACTGAGGCATAATTCAGGGAAAGTCAATAAAAGGTACACAGGATCTCTCTATTATTTCTTACAATTGCATGTGAATCTACAATTATCTCAAAATAAAAAGTTTAATTAAAAAAACAAGCAAATTAGAAAGAGTTGAAGAGGGCCGGCCCTGTGGCTTGGTGGTTAAGTGCGCGCGCTGCGATGCTGGTGGCTCGGGTTCGGATCCCGGGTGCGCATCGAGGCACCACTTCTCTGTCCATCCTGAGGCCGAGTCCCACATACAGCAACTAGAAGGGTGTGCAGCTATGGCATACAACTATCTACTGGGGGTTTGGGGGCAAAAAATAAAATAAATAAAAAATTTTTAAAAAAAAAAAAAAAAAAAAAAAAAAAGAAAGAGTTGAAGAGACAATGACTGATGGAAGATAGTATTTAATTGAATTACCAGAAAAGGAGAGAAAATAGGGCAGAGGCAATAGTTAAAGAAAAATGGTGTAGAAATTTCTAGAACTGATAAGAAAAATTCTACAGATTTTAAGGATCCTTCCCCTTCCCCAACAAAAAATCTCTAGGACAAATGAAAACACACGTATATTTACAAGATTTTATTAGCTTGAAGAAAAATGTGAAAAGATGCATTAGAGATTGATAACATGGGGTACATGGAGGTGGAGAGGAAGGTGGAATAAGGAGAATGATGTAGGTGATGAAGAGAGGGAAGGTAGAGAAACAGCAAAGCAAAAAAGAAACGATACAAAAATTCATGATTATATTTAGGGATTTGTATAAACACAGGTGTACATGAAGAACACAAAGGCAAAAAAAACTGAGACAAATTATCAACAAAGTATAGAATCTCCCTCCTGTGATAGTTAAAAAATAGACATTTTTTTTTTTTTTCCTCTTAAAGGGGAATACAGGTAGAATCCTACTTAGAGCAGAAATACTGGACTGAAAACAGGGCACTCTAAAACCAGAATCAATTAGTAGGGGTTCAGTTTTTGTTAATAACTCTCTCATTGCCTTTCAAGCCCAGAGAATCGTAGATACTCACGTTGACTCCATTTCTCTTAATTTAGATCCAGCTGTGAGTTGCATGTTCTTTCGCTGCCAGTTTAAATCCTGATTATGTTTTCTGTAAAAAATTATTTACACAACCCACCTACATGTTAACATAAGACTAAAATCAACAGAAAAACCTATAATCAATATACTACATCTTTAATCCCTTGAGAAGAACAGATATCTACAGTCATAGAGTAATTTCAGGAATTAACATTCTTCTAATTATTTTTCAATTACAAATTTCATAAAACACGCTCACTGTGAAAAATTGAGACACAGACATGCACACACATAGATTAAAAATCTCAAGTCCCTCTTCCCATGTGCTTCTTCTTCTCCCTGATAACTGCTGTTCAGTTTTTGGTGGGTGTCATTCCAGACTCTCTCCTACATGTGTTTAGTTTTTTTACATAAATGAGATTATACATGTTATTCTGCAACTTTTCCCTCTTCTAAAAGTGCCTTTTCAGTGTCTGCAGACTTGCAAATTACAAATGACCTGGTAGAGATGTTTTCAGACCTCAGATCTATTTCTCCTTCACTCAGGTAGGGCAAACACAACACCAGAGGCTGGACAAAGAGTGGATCATCAATTGTTTACTCTCATATGACTATAGAACACTGGTTCCTTTTTCATCTCACTCTATTTATTAAAGGTTCACCTAAACTTTATTCTAAAGTAAGAGGAAAAAACAATTTACCTTAACTTCTGGAGTTCTTTCTGTGCGTGTTCAATCATATGAACTAGATTTCTAAGGAAGGAAAAGAGGAAAATCAGATAAATGTACGTTAAAATCCCTAGTATCAACTAAAAGTGAACTACCTAGTTGATAAAAAGATCAAGTTTTTCTGCTAAAAATAGTTAATATTTATTGAGCTCTCTGTACCAAACACCATGTTAGACACTCTATAAATATCAGCTAATTTAATTCTCACAAGAGTTCTTGGAGGCAGGTGTGATTGTCCCTATCTCACATGTGAAGAAACTAAGCTTAGAAAGATTAAGTAACTTGGTCAAGGTAACATAGTCAGAGCTGAATTCTATTTCAGGTCTTTAACACCCTTGAGCCCAAGCAGTTTACTGATACTCTGATTTGTGTACTTATGTCACTTCTTAAACTGTCATAACTTCTTTTCCATGGAAAATATCGGATATGAGTACACTCATTTAAACCCCCTTTTATCTCTATATTTCTGTATCTACATTTATCTTGTTATTTTCCCCTCCTGCCTACTGCTAACTAGAGAGAAAAGAAAAGAAAAGAAAACTGGTGTGGAAGACTAGATATTCAGATTTAAGTCCAAGTCGGCTCTAACTAGCACAAGGGAGAAGTTGAGTAATACAGGGCACCACGCGATTATCATCATTAGAGAAGTGATTCAAAGGTTGATTTCAATCTCCTTTTTTTCTTTTTTAAATAACAGCTTTACTGATTTCCTCGAAGGCAGCAGAGAATCACGTGTAGGGTCCATTTCAACCACACTGGCCTTACTATGCTCTTGCTCTAGATCCAATATCATTTCCTGGCTTTTGTGACTCAAATTTCCTGCTGCTCTCCTGCATTAGTCTCCTATCTTTACTGACTGATTTCTTCAATAACTGCAATTCTCTCAAGATTTGGTCTTCACATAGCTGTGCTCCTCCAGGCTTTCCTGCAGCTCATCCCACTTTCCTTGACTTCAACAATCACTCCATGCTGAGGTCAACCAAGCTCAGTACTCTATTCCTGACCTCTGACCATTAACAGGGAGCTTTCTTTTGAATTACCTCTTCCTGAAAGCCCAATTTATTTGTTGTCTTCTCCCTCCTTCCATCCTCTTAAGTATACAGGTCCCTCCTCAAGTACTCTGAACATTTTCTATTAAAACTTACTTCACTGTATCATGGGAGTCAAAAGACTTGGGTTCTAGTCCCAGCTCTGCCCTAAATAGCTGTGTGTCCTTGGATGAGTCATTTGACATCACTGGAGCTAAGCTTGCTTATTGTAAAACCGGGGGCTGACCTTGAAGGTTTCCCTTCAGTTGCAAGTACAGAATTTTCTCCTCATTAACAAAATACAGGACTGTACTATTTTTTTTTAGCACTTCTGCACCAAGACCTACCTATAACTAAAAGCTTTCTGCCCAGCATGTTTGACATTCTCAAATTCTTTCATGAGGAAAGGAAATTTACTTTGATAAGATACAATACACCTCCTCTGGAGAAACATCCATTGGGTCTGAAAGAGACAAAATACACTCAGGGACAAAAAATGCCATTCCAGGAGGAGACAAGGCAGCAGTAAAGGCCCAGAGGAAAGGTATATGATAATCACCAGAGAGAGGACTAGTCTGGCTGGAATGAAAGCCTAAAATTGAGCTATAGCCTTTTGCCTTGAATACCACCTTAAATAGTCTGAACCTTACCTTGGACGAAATGGGGAATTAGTAAAGGTTTCTAAGCAAGTTGAAAGCAATGTTCCTTTCAACTTAATGTTTTTTACCCCTGCATCCATGTTCTCCATTCCTGGAATGTTCTTGCTCTCCTCTAAACATCCAAATCTCACCCCTTTTTAATGACCCTAATTCTTAATATCCCTTCTCTGGATCTCTGTAGTTTACACAACACGGCATATGATGCAGCACTTGCCCCCATGCTGCCAAAAATGGACTACTGGTTATTTGACATAGAATATCTTGTCTCTTCAACTAGATAAAGCTTGAGGACAAGGATCACATTTTCCCGCTTTGTGAAATACAGACTTCTTTTTGATTGGTCTGTCTCTTAATCACTCTGACCCCATTTTTCCTTTATTCCCCTTGCAACATATTCACAAAAGAAACTGAATTGTTTGTTCTGTATTTTCTCAAATTCTGGATTTTTCCCACTGGATCCTTATGCGGTCATACAAATTTAAAATATAATTCTGAAAATTTGAGAAAAGGTATTTATCGTTTGGAGATTTTGCTTTATTGTTTCAGGAAACATACTCTATAACAGTTTTATGTACAGACATGAGGTTCAATGGTCTTTTTCCCCCTAAACAATTGATAGAGACTCAGGAGATTTTAGGGCTTAAGGAGCTACAGAGACCATTTAACCACCAAATTTTACAAATAAGAAAATTGAACCTTAGATAACAAAACCTAAAGCTAGTTAGATGGAACAGAAATAGGAGCTTAGTGGCTTGTTTTGGCACTTTGTTTCTGGGGTTGACTCCCTACTTACAGTCAATTCTCATTATTTGCAGATTCTGTATTTGTAAATTTGCCTCCTCACTCAAATAAATACTTACAGTGTTCTGTGATCATTTGTAGACATGCCCAGAGCAGCAAAAAATTTGAGTTGCCGAATGTGCACATTCCCAGGTGAAGGAGTGGAACAAGGAGACACTCTGCCTTTTTGCTTCAGGTCTCATACAGAGATGACCACAGGATGGAATTTAATTTCCAACTCTGGCAAGTTACTTAACACTTCTGAACTTTGTTTTCTCTTTTATAAAATAAGGAAAATAGGATCTGCCAGGATGAGTTGTTTTTAGGATTTAAGATTATAATTTATGCAAGATGTGTGTGTGTGTACATGTGCGTATATATGTGTGTATACATATATACATGTGTGTATGTATGTATATGTGTATGTATATATACACACATATACACACACATATCACACATACATACATGTATATTTCTCCCAGAAGAAATGGTACAGTATTTGCTAATGGTACAGTATTTGCTAATTCAGTATTCAAAGCCACTTTATAGAACATAACATGTGACTCAAGAGAATCAACTGTATAAGCAATCTCACACATTAAGGATTACATTCTACCAAGCTGGGATTTGTAAATCAGACCCCAGGACTCATTTTATTACAATATTATACAATAAACGTGGTAGTTAGGGTTAGGTCCTCTTAGTACTCTAAAACTTTGAAGTGGGTCTCAAAGTAGTGGCCTTTCAAATGAGTTGTAGTTCCAGGACATGATTCAAGTGAAAGTCCAGCTATACTATTTTTATCCCATTTCCCCTTCTCTATTTCCCGCATTTTAAAAAAATACCAAAGCTGTGGGTGCGATGGGTTAAAAAAAAAAAGCTTCTTACTCATTATATACTTTCCACGCATTACATCCATGCTGTGACATTAGTTCCAGATTCTCAATTCGAACCGCTTGATGCTCTAACTGGGCCATAGAATTGTTTACACATTCTTGCCATGCAGTAATGTCATTTTTCTGACCCGAGGAAGGGGCTGGAAGTTCATATCTGAAATTAAATAACAATAAAATAAAACCACATATTCCCCCAAAGCTGTATCTCTCCTTCCAACAGAACACACCACGGGTCTATGCACACCATAAAAACTACAGAAGACTGAAGATAAGACGCAGACCTTGCAATAACAGGAAACCTATTTATCCTAAGAAACAATCAATTTACAAATAAGATTCCTTTCAAAATATTACTGCTCTGACTGATGATGTACAAGATTAATGTTGTTTTCATGCCTACAAATGTACACCCATTCTGCAGCCCATGGATCAAGGAGTAATTTTGACTTTCAAGTCTTATTTAAGAAATACATTTCGTAAGGCTATAGCTGCTATAGATAGTGATTCCTCTGATGGATCTGGGAAAGTAAATTGAAAATGTTCTGGAAAGGATTCACCATTCTAGATGCCATTAAGAACATGTGTGATTCACGGGAAGAGGTCAAAATATCAACATTAACATGAATTTGGAAGAAGCTGATTCCAACCCTCATCGATGACTTTGAGGGGTTCAAGACTTCAGTGGAGGAGGTAACTGCAGACGGGTGGAAATAACAAAAGAACTAGAATTAGAAATGGGGCCCGAAGATGTGACTGAATTGCTGTAATCTCATGATAAAACTTTAATGGATGAGGAGTTGCTTCTTATTGATGAGCAAAGAGAGTGGTTTCTTGAGATGGAGTCTACTCCTGGTGAAGATACTGTGAAGATTGCTGAAATGACAACAAAAGATTTAGAATATTACATAAACTTAGTTGATAAAGCAGCAGCAGGGTTTGAGAAGATGGACCCCAATTCTGAAAGAAGTTCTACTGTGGATAAAATGCTATCAAACAGTATCAAATGCTACAGAGAAACTGTTCATGAAAGGAAGAATCAATTGATGTGGCAAACTTCATTGTTGTCTTATTTAAGAAATCGCCACAGCGACCCCACCTTCAGCAACCACCGCCCTATCAGTTAACAGCCATCAACACGGAGGCAAGACCATCCACCAGCATAATGATTATGACTTGCTGAAGGTTCAGATGATGGTTAGCATTTTTAAGCAATAAAATATTTTAAAATTAAGGTATGTAATTGTTTTTTTAGACATAATGCTATTACACACAAAACGGACTACAGTACAGTAAATATAACTTTTATATGCACTGGGAAACAAAAAAATTCATGTGACTCGCTTTATTGTGATATTCACTTCACTGCAGCGGTCCGGAACCGAATCTGCTATATCTCTGTGGTATGCCTAAAAGGTTGTTGTATTGGCTATTAAATGATGTTACTGAAGAATACTTAAAACATTAAGTTGTTTGTAATATAGTAAATGAACAAAGTAGAATACAAAAAACTATGCTATAATTTTTATAAAACACACCTTACATCCATCCACCCTCCCCCCCATACACCCACAACCCTCTGGAGAAAAAATGGGAAGGGATATAATAATTCTTTGCATTGGGACCCTACACTATTCTTTCTCTGCATACCACCCAGTCCTTCAACACTGCCAGTATAGTCAGCAAATACTCTTCATACATCTCTGCTCATTATTGAGTTACTACAAACTAAGTTTTAATTTCCATTTTAATATTTTTACTAGATATTGTAAAAACTCCACATCATTCCTATGAAAAACTGAGGGATATGCACCTGGGATCAAGAAATAATAAAACATTTCGTTAAAAAAAAAAAATCTTTACACACACACCAAAATGTAGCATTTTTCAAACTTCTGACTATAACCCACAGCAAGAAATACTTTACACTGTAATCCAGTGCACAAATACACATAGTTGAAAAGTTTCACAAAACAAGAATTACCTTTACATGCAATGCATTCTGGTATTTCTATCCTATTTCCTTAAAAAAGTGCTGTGGTACCTTACTAAATTTACTTCACAATCTGCTGCTTAATGGGTCATTACCAATGGTTTGAAACATACTGCCATAAAGTAGTTACTACTATCATGAAAATCTTTAGAGCAGAGGCACCAGGAAATGGGAGAACTGAGGAGTCCTGCAAGTTGTCCTGCGTTTTTAACTCAGGCCAGATAGGAAATGGAGCACAAGAAAGAAGAAATCTGGTCCTGTGGTTCTAGAGACTCAAATCCCTCTTATAATCTATATATATGCTGAGAGGATAGCCCAACTGTTCATGTGGCCCTCTCTTGCAGGACTCTGCTCTGACAGATCACTTAGTGGTACTCAAAATTCCATGGTTATTTTTTTTTGCATTTGAAAAGAGAATTGTTTTATTTATTTTATTGCAGTAACATTGGTTTATAACATTATGTAAATTTCAGGTGTACATCATTATATCTCAATTTCTGTGTAGACTATATCATGTTCACCACCCAAAGACTACTTACCATCCGTCACTGTACACATGTGCCCCATTACTCCTTTTGCCCTCTCTCCTCCCTCTTCTCCTCTGGCAACCACCACTCTAATCTCTATATCTATGTATTTGTTTGTTGTTGTTGTTGTTTTTATCTTCCACATATAAGTGAAACCATACAGTATTTGGCTTTCTCCATCTGACTTATCTCTCTTAGCATAATGCCCTCAAGGTCCATAGTTATCTTAGAGCTGAAAAGGACCTCAGATGTTAAGCAACCCAATTCTCCATTTTAGAGAAAGTAACAAAGGGTATTTCACTTTTTTTTCCTGAGCAAGGAGAATAGTTTTGTAGTAAAGTGGCACAGGAGGGGAGATAGTGGAGCCAAAGTCAAACTATCCAGGCACTCTGCATTTACTAACGCTGCCTTGTGTAAGAGTGAAGCAGGGATCATTATAAGCCATAACACTGGTTTCACTCCATATAAGTGATCAGTGAAGACCCAGATGTCTAATCAGGAATATTCTTGGGAATTCTTAAAAGTGAACTCCACTACAATTCACCATTCCCTTACTGCTGGGTTCTAAAATATTTTGCATTTTAAAACAATGGTGCAAACAATATCTTTGAATATTAACACAGGATTATCTGAACCACTATTATATGAAAAAACACAAATATATTAAAACAGATAAGAATTTTTTTCTTTTCAACATTTATTTTAACATGGCTACAGCAGTTTTACTGATAAAGTAAACAATGATTTAAACCCAGCTGAACTCAGAAATAGGACTTACCGTTTCATACTGAGCAATTCAATGGGTTGTCGAGCAGCCAGTCTTTCAAATTCATTTCTCACTATGTCGGTCTGATGTATAAATCATAGAAAAAAATCATTTCCAAAATCATATCAACAAACTGAAATCGACAACCACCAAATAAATAATGAATCTAACCTACTTAAATATTTATGCTTTATATTATCCATTATAATGGATCATTTCCCTTCCCCCAAGCCTTCTCTGGGTTAAATGCTCTCCAGGATCTGGAGAACACACAGACACAGACACAGATATATACACCCTTCATATGTAAAGGGGCCCACAGAGAAAAAGATTAATCCCAGATCAGTGGTTCTCAGTCCCCAGCAGCACATCAGAATAAACTGGGAGTTCTGAAGACAATTCCAACCCTTCCCCCACTCCCATTTAATTATACTGAGGTGGGGACTGTGCATGATTATGACTTTTGTTTTTAACCCACCAGTTGACTGTAAAGTGAAGCAAGTGTTGAGAACCATGGTTCTAAGTATTCACTGGGGGTAAGGGAAGAGAAGAAAGGACTTGGACATAAAACAATTAGCGTTAGGGCTATGAGCCTAAACTTATACTTTCTTTTTGGTTCAGGCTGCTATTTTCACACTTTATTCTTTGCAAAGAATGGAGAAGGGGGGAAGAGACAAAAGGAACTGGTTCTGCTAGCTGCTCTAATAATTTTACTATTTTCAAAAAATGTGGTATAGCTCAACTTCTTTAGGTCCAATGTTTTGGTCAATATCCTATTCCACAGAGTTCTGCACATTTCCTGCCCTGAGAATACAGAATTGCTTAAGTGAAATATTCATTTACGGTATTATCTTAGTTATCTCATGTAATTTTAATTTTTCGAGGGATTCAACTATCTTAACAATTAGACTAAAGAGTAAGCAAAAAAGGCCTTCCGGAATCACACATTCCTTGTTTAAAAGTTTTGCATCGAGCATTTCTTATTGGAGAAAGCCTTTTTTCGGACTATTGTTGAGTTACATGTAGCTCTAGCATTCTAGCTAGAAGGCTATGTACAGTAACAGAGACGGAGTAACAACTAACAATTAGATAAGAAACTATAAAAATGCAGTACAAGCAGTCTGGAGCCATGTAACACAGGAGCCCTTACTTAACTCACATGGCCAGTACGAGACAGATCTGGAATTTTAACTCAACTCTCTCCAAAGACTGAGCCAACACTCATGGAGCTAAGTCATGAAAAGAGCTCTGGGCATGTCTGGCACACAGTAAGCATTCGTTAAATAAAACTGTCTTAGAAGCTCTTTGTACGTTCAATTGATAAACATTTAGGTGCCTATTGTGTGCCATGCACCCTTCTAAATGATGATGATACAGTGGTGAAGAAGACAAAGAAGATCCCTGTCCATGGAGCATTCTCATCTCAGAGAGGCCTTCCTCAACCATCCTATCTAAATAGTCACCCAGTCACTCCAAATCACGACTACTTTACAATCCTCTATATAGCTTTATTAATAATCTGATATTCTCTGATTATTTGTCTGTCTCCACACTCTAGAATATAAGCTCCATGACTATGGACCTTGCCCATCCTGTTCCCCAATACCTGGCATAGAATAGCCCTTCATGAATAATTGTTAAATGAATTAAAAGAAGAACAGTTTCAAAGGCAGTCTGAAGAGTGGTTAAGGTCTTAAGCAAATTAGTTACCCTCTCTCAGCTATAGTTTCCCTTTTTAAAAAATTGGGATAATACACATACATAGTTCACAGGGTTGTTTTTAGGACTGAAATAGTAAGCCCAGTACACTATTAGCTCCTATTATTAAGGGTTACATAATCAGTATACTAATTATAAAGATAGGAAGCATGCATTGTATTTAAGAGAGCTAAAAATGCTAAAACTGGTTCAAATATTTAAAAGTTTGTGATTGAATGCAGTTATCTGAAACTTTCAGAAATCAATCTAATAAGCATTACTGTGCTTAGTTCTTAATGTGGTAATGACTATAACTAGGTAACAACATTTAGAAAGAGCATGGGAAAATACCGTATCATAGGAACATCTCTCTCCTACTTAAAACTTAACCAATGTTTTTTCACGTTACTTCAATATAAATACTGCCTTTTTGTTTTTATTTATTTATTTGTTCCCCCAAAGCCCCAGTAGATATAGTTGTATGTCATAGCTGCACATCCTTCCAGTGGCTGTTTGTGGGACGCGGCCTCAGCATGGCCGGAGAAGCGGTGCGTCGGTGTGCACCCGGGATCCGAACCCGGGCCGCCAGCAGCGGAGCGCACGCACTTAACCGCTAAGCCACGGGGCCGGCCCTAAATACTGTGTTTTAATAACAGCATTCTTTCATAAATAAATGGTTACCTACAATGGGGAAAAAACCCCAAACATGTATGTACTAAAATGTTTAACAGAATTCACTAATTTAGAATTGATATTTTACACTTCATTTAGCTGATTAGACCCTGAATAGTATCTTGGGTGCACTTAAACGCCGCCCTCCAGTGGTTCTCAAGAGCTTAGGCAATGAGACTTACATATATTAAAAAACCCTAGATCATTTGTTTTAGAGTGGACCTTAGAGAGTAAAGGATCCCTTCGAGAATTTACGCAAGGAACCCATCTCGCAAAAACGTACACACTAATTTTTGCATTGTTAGCTTGTTGACAGCTCCAGAAAGTCCTTCTGTGGGTCTCAGAATAAGAACCCCAGAAGAAGCTTATCTAACGGTTTTCAATGCACTGGTGATACCTTATAACAGCGGAAGTAGTAGCTAAGCAAGCAATAGTTAAAGCCGGAATTTAAAATTCACTTTTACGTGGCTAAGGCTCTCAATCCAAAAGAAAGATTCACAGGATCCTGGTTCATATGCTGGGCTCAAGACATCACACTTACTTCAAAAGCAGAATAATCCGGGGCTGTCAGGTAGCTCAGGTAGTTCTTAGTAGGTCGGTATCTGCGAGTTTCCTCCTCTACCAGCGCCGCAGCCTAAAAAGGAGAACAGGGACCAGGGTACAGCCAGCAAATTGTAAGGCGCCTCTTTCAGCACGAAGGGCCAGCGAGCGCTGAGTCAGCAACACAGACACCCCGAACTCACCGCTTCCCGCACACCGGGCGCTTCATAACCTTGGTCAAAATACGGCAGGGCATCCACCACAACTTCTCCGGCCACCAGACCAGTACCCGCCATTCTCGAACTCGCCTGGGCTTTCTGAGTCGGCGCAAACTCAGGCCCACCGAAATACGCCTGCGCCCATCACCGACGTAAGGCACGTCGCCTGGGCAGTGGCTTTGGCGCATGCTCAGTTGCTAATGCCGAGGGCACGCTCGCCCAGGCACTAGGAATTGCCCGGCCATTTTGTTTTGGTCGGACGTGACGTCACGACACGGTTTCCTAGAGTCAGCGGAACATCTCAATTTCCTGTCTCCGCACGCTCCACCGACGGGCAGCAGTTTGGAGAGTAGTTAAGATTTTTGGTTTCCTCCAGAACGCTGATACCTGGGAGGGGAATCCTTTAAAATTTCGGAGGGAACTGGCTGCAGGATTTGGCGGGAAGAGAGTGTTTTCTTACCTCGGCTTACTCCCCTAACCTTCCGCCTTTTCCCCTTAAACTTCTCTTACTTTGTGCCAGGCTTCTCTCTCCTGGATTTCCTTGGTGTACTTCCACTATTCTTCGTTCTCGGCGCCCAGAGAACCATCGCATTGGATAAGTGTAGTTCTTGCACAGACTCGAGAAGTAGGCGCCAGTCTCCAGTTAAAATTTCGAAGCTCTGGAGTCTGCGTAACAAAAGGAACCAGATCTACCCCCAGGGCGAGATTGATAACAGCCCACCAACCCCAACTTTTCAAAATCCTGTCATTTTATCTTCGAGACGCATATCAAATCCAATCATTTTGCCTTTAAGACTTCCAGCAATAGAATAGCGCTCCGCATTGCCTCCCAACCACCCATGCTGCTCCCGGTGCACTGTCTCTAGTCGGTGGCTCCCAGTATATATATATATACTATATATAGTCGGACTATATATATACCCTGCCCGGTGTCAGTCCTAGACCCAGGCTTTGTCTGCCAGGAGCCTGGAAATGTTGGCCACGGTTATTAAGTCTGGTTAATCTAGACTCGATTTGGGTTATCTTTTAACCTACCATTAGATAAATGTGCTAGCTGTAGATTTAAGGGAAGTACAAGATGTCTACATTTTATGCAGTTTTATTTAAAATTCTCCAAGAGATCCATGGAATTTTTGTGTTTATTCATTAAAAGATCTGTAAACAACATTTTATGCAAATCTTGAGCAATTCTTTTTACAAACATGTCCAGAATTCATAACACTTCACAAAAACAAAATAAGACAGGCCTAAGAAAAGGAAGCAGCTTCAGATTGCACGGATAAAATAAGACCCCCATCCCTGAAGCAAAGGTCCCCTCACATAGGGTTGGCCAGGATCTACCATAGTAATACCTCCTACCCCATTTTATAAACACTCAATTCCCAATTACTAATTGTCCCCTCAGGGTTGGAGTGTCAGAAGAGACCAAATGGGGAGATGTCTGGTAAGAGCCCCACTGGGGTAAGCTGCTTAATAAACATTTTTTAAAAGACATCGGCTCAGTTCTATTTTCTGGACCCACATCTATAGTAAATATAATATACAGCACCAGTCTTAAATGATGTCTGCTTCAGATTCATTCATGCACACCTGAATGGGTTGTAATGACAACACTGTACAAGTCAATAAACTGATCATAACGCAACTTGTAAGGTTTTGTTAAGTTTGAATAAATATTTTTTATGCCAGTTAAAACCATCAGCAGGAATTGAAGAAAACAAACTGACACTTGCTATAGTATTTATCAATGAAAATTGTACCATCACTGACAAATTCCTCTTTCCAATCACTACTACTACTTTAGATATTAAGGGTCGGGGTGATTATGTCATGTGTGCCCAGAAAATATCCATATTTTGAATCCAATTTAATTAGAGCAAAAAGTCCACCGAATCTAGGGGAACCAAAAAAGAGTCTTATCTAGGCACCCACAGTTTGAAGTCCCTAAGAGTTGCCTCTGGTACACTTCGGCTTAAAAGAAAACTTTTTCAATAGCTACATAATCTCACAGAGCTCACATTTCCATCTGCAGGACTAACCAACTTTCTCTGTGTTCATAAACTAGTAGTCCTGGCTTCAGTTCTGGCTCTGCTGTATAACTTTGGGCAAGTTATTTAACCTCTTTGAATTCCAGTTTCTTCATTAGTAAAATGGAGATGCAAATATCTTATAAAGTTGATCTAAAGAATCAATAAGGTGACACACATACATATACCATAGTGCATGGCACATGGCGGACACACACACACACACAAAAGGTAGTTCTCATGCCCTTGAAAGGACATATTCTTATTAGCTATAATTCCACAAAGTTTAATGTTGACACGTAAGGGACAAGCTACTCAAGTGCCACACAATGTGGAGGAGCTGCAAGATGTCTACTTGTATAAGATACTCAGTAATACTGCTAATAAATAGGGCTTCTGCATAAGTGAAATTCCCCTAGACAGAACATTAGACAAAAAAAAAAAAAAGGATATATATGATGAGTATATTCCTTAGCTCAGCTCAAACAGCCCATAGGTTTAAAGCTGCCATGGTGTTTCAGTGATGAGAATTATGTGTGTAGGGCTAGTGTTCTCCACTTCTAGCATGCCTCTCTAGTACCTTAAACTCAGCATTTCTCTCATTGTGCTCATCTTTGAGCTGTTTTTTTTAAAAATGCAACACTAAGTCTTTCGCTTGTAAAATTCAAGTGCTTTCATAGTCTAAGCACAAAACACAAAGAATGAACCCAAGAATCAAATACTTAAAGAAAATCGGAGGCAGAGTAGAGACAGCATTGGTTCCAGATTACTCCCAACAATTCTCCAGTGATTACTACGGCAGGAACAGCAGAATCCTCCTCCAAGAACCTGGCCCACTTGGTAACCTTTTCAACTTTCAAGGATTTTGTAGAATACTTCACGGCATCCTGACTTTCTGAAAATATTTTCTTTGGCATTATCTGTTCTATTTAGGATGGAGATAGTCAATCAAAGATTTCATTTCTTCTGCAGAAATTTCATTTTACTTCCTAAAGGGAGAAAAAAGTAGAGTGAACTCTCATTAGTTTGTTTTTATTTATTGTACATTATTTGAGGCAAGAGATTAACAACCTTGTCATTCAGAACAGCCCAGGAATAAGCTGCCATCTCAAGCTATCAGCTGTGTTTAACCACCAAAAAAAACTCTGCAAGTGTCTAATTGTAGAGGTGGAAGAGAACTCAGACATCATCTAATCCAGTGGTTTTCAACCCTAACTGTAGGTAAAATCACTTGGCCTGCTCCCCAGAGATTTCTTGGACCCAGGGGGAGCAGGGTGTGGGGGGAATGATTTTTATTTAAGCTCCCCACAGATTATAATATTGTAGTCAGAGCTGAGTACCACTGATCTTATCTAACCCCGTGGTATAAAGATGAAATAACAGCCGAAGTATAATATGTCCATGGTCTCTCAGCTAGTTAAGGATAGGGCCTAATTTTAATTAGGGAGATATATTTCAAAGACCAATATAAATATCATAGAATATAGGTTCTTCATGTTTTGGGCTACCACACTACTGTTCTCCTATATCATACTTGATAATTAAAAGTTAACTAAAATTGAAAAATCATAAAGTGTTTCTTTATGAAGTGTAAAATTACAGACTTGCAGGAAATCCTTTTGCCTCAGACTTCCTTTATACCAGGTATTTTTGTTTTGTTTTGTTTTTTGCCGAGGAAGATTTGCTCTGAGCTAACATTTGCTGCCAATCTTCCTCTTTTTGTATGTGAGCCACTGCATGGCCACTGACAGACGAGTGGTGTAGGTCTGTGCCCGGGAACTGAACCTGGGCCGCTGGAGCGGAGCACACTGAACTTAACAACTAGGCCACCAGGGCTGGCCCTAAACCAGGTGTGGAGTCCATGGATGGGCTTCAGGGGGGGTCCATGAACACCCTAAATTTATATGCAAAATTTGTTTGTATGCTCCAAGTATATTTTCCTGGGAAAAAGGTCCACAGTTTTATAAGATTCTCTCAGGGATGTGACCTAGAAAAGAATAATACTCATGATATGCAAATTCTTATATCATGAGGGAGCTTTATCTGTGGAAAACAGCCCCATGGACAACTCTGATGGATAATCCCAACCTCTGAGAAAGAGACTTCTTTTTTCCAAAACACTTTGGAACTAGTGTCATGGTTTCTGGTCAACCTACTTGAGGTTACATTGTTGATCTGATTATAAAGCTTTTGTGATGAGGCATGCTTACTGCAAAAGCTTTTTCAGCCACATTTATCTAACAGGAAAACTCAGCAACTCACCAAGACTCCGCAAAATTCTATTCACCCCACTGGGCTCAGATTCAGGAATTGTTTCCAAATACTGGAGGGCCCGGACCTCAAACAAACCTACAAGGAAAATTCATGTTGGTGAAATTGTCCAAAACTCAAGACTGAAAATCAACTAAATGAAACTCTGTGCTCACTACCAATGTACTTCCATAGCTAAAATAATATTACAAAATAAATATTTCCCATAATAAACAACTCAGATTTTGAGCCCTTGTAGCTTTATGCTATTTTTTATTTATATTATTTTCAAGCCTTTCAAGTGCTCACTAAATACAAAGGGAGAACTTTATGATGAGACTGACCTTTCACTCCACTTTTCCGAAGCTCTCGGTCCTGGATGAATCCTGCAAACATCTGAGTTTCCATGAAGAGATCCAGGAAGTGGCGTACACTTCGGGAGGTGTGGGATTTACGGAATGGCTCCCTTTGGAATACACGCTCCCCACGCTCAGTGACAGTCATGCTCAAAGAATAATGTCCTACCAGCTCCACAAAAAATCTGACAAATGCTTCGGACACCAGAGAGTTGAGCGTCACGTCTGCTGCAAAATGAAAGAAAAAGAAAAGAAAAGAAAAAAATCCCCTAAGTTTTGTGTTTATGGGAACACTGGCTCTGGTTATGAAAGTGATGCCTAGGAAATCATGGCTTAAAGGACTGAGAATAAATATAGGAATCCTCATTCTTGGTTTTTTGCATTCTCCATGACCTGCAAAAAGCAAATGGCTTATAGCCTTACCTTCATTTTCTTCCCACACATACTCTTATTACACCTTTCAGCCTGGCTTGCACATCCGTGATTTCAAAGTAACTGCTATTTCAAAGGCCACCAGTGAGAACTAGCCAAATTTAATCTGCTTTTCTATTTTTATCTTCCTTTAAACTCTATGCTGCATTTGTGCTGACCTCCTCATTCCTCTTGTGTCCTAAAACTTTATGCTCTCTGGATTTCCTGATTCCTCTCCTGCCTTTATGACCAAACATTTGTTTTTCTCTTGCCTCCTCTTCCTCTTCCTCAACATAGTCTTCAGACCACTTCTCTTCAACATTCCCTTCCTCAAAGAGCTAACTGGCATAGAGATAGAGCTGGCTTTCCATGTTGATAATACACCACGTTAGTTCTCTAGCCCTGACATTTCACCAAAATTTACCTCCTACGTTTTCAGGCTACCTATGAGTGATCATCATTTGGCTGTCCCATAGCACTTAAATTCCATTCATCTAAAAGTCACCACATCAGATCCTTTTGGGAAATCTGTAGTACATGAATCAAAGAAATAAACACGCCCCAAACCAAATTCATTATATTTCTCCACCAAATCAGTTTCTCTCTGAACTTTCTTTCACATTTCATATTACACCATATTATACCATGATTATTCCATACTAAATAATAATTTATTGAGTGCTTAAGATATGTCAGGCACTATCTTAAGTGCTTTTACAAATGTAATAATCCAATGAGGTAGGTATTATTATTTCCCTTTTACAGCTAAGGAAACTGGGGCTCAAAACAAAGACATTCTCCAGGGTCATCTCATCTGGTACAGTGGAGAAGCTGCCAGACTCCCAAGTCAGGAGATTCTTAACCACTCTAATATACAACAATATATTGCCTTCCAGGCTCCAGGCTCAAGCCTCAGATTCAACTTACACTCCTCCTTTTTCTTTCATATCCAAATAGTACTTTTTTTTTCCTCCACAACATCTCTTGCTCTTTTCCATGGGCTCCACCCTGGACTGGAAATCAGGGACCTAGGTTTAGGCAGAGTTCTACCACGAAGCAGCTGTATAATAGTGGGCAACTCGCTTTACCTCCATGGCCTCACTTTCCATACCTGTAAAATGAGGTGGCTGATTAGGTGATTTCTAAAATCTCTTCCAGGATTACATTTTGATTCTAATCTAGAATTTTGTTATATTTTGTTCAACAGAATTCCTTCTCATCTCTTCCCTTCTACAGCTGAGAATCCAGGTCCATCACTGCTTTTATCATCAACACTTTTGCCCCACTCTCCCATTTCCTAGTTACCATGTGCAAGAGTTTCTCTAGGGCATATATCTAAAAATTGAAGTGCTGGGTTGTAGGATATGTACACCTTTAACTTTGCTAGATGATGCCAAATTGTTTTTCCAAAGTGGCTGAACTAATTTACACATTCTCACTAATACTCAATATTGTCAGCCTTTTTCATTTATGCCAATATGGTGGGTATAAAACGGTATTTCATTGTGCTTTTAATTTACATTTCCCTGATTTTTATGAGGTTGTACATCTCTTCATATATTTATTGGCCTTTCATATTTCCTCTTCTATGAAATGATTGTTTAAATCTTTTCCCCATTTTTCTATTGGGTTATTCATTCTTTTTATTACTGAATTGTAGGAATTTTTAAAAATGAATTCTCGCTGCTATTCCTTTGTTAGTTATATTTGTTGAAAATGTCTTCATCTAGTTTGTAGCTTGTCTTTTTTTCCCCCAGTTTTACTGAGATACATCACTGTATAAGTTTAAGGCATACAGTACGATGCTTTGATTTACATATATTGTGAAATTGTAGCTTTAAATTTTCTTTTCCATCATGTCCCTTGATGAACGGTAATCTTAAAAATTTAACACAGTCAAATTGATCAATCTTTTTCTTTATGGTTTGTGCTCTTTGTGCCATATTTAAGAAACCCATTACTGTCCCAAAACATAAAATATTTTCTTCTATTCTTTTCTAAACATTTAAAAATGTTTTAGGACTGGCTTGGTGGCATAGTGGATAAGTTTACGTGCTCTGCTTTGGCAGCCTGGGGTTCATGGCTTAGGATCCCAGGCATGGACCTATACACTGCTTATCAAACCATGCTGTGGCAGCATCCCACATACAAAATAGAGGAAGATGGGCAAGGATGTTAGCTCAGGACCAATCTTCCTCAGCAAAAACAGGAAGATTGGCAACAGATGTTAGCTCAGGGCCAATCTTCCTCACCTAAAAAAAAAACGAATAAAAGAATAAAAATGTTTTACTTTTAACATTTAAGTCCTTACTTCACTGGAATTAATTTTGTGTGTGTATAACGTGAGGTATAGATCCCTATTCATTTCTTTTCATATGGAAAGCCAATCGCCCTACTATTGTTTATGGAATGGTTCATTCTTTTCCCACTGATATGCAATGTTGGCGCTGACACAAATCAAGTTTCCTTACGCATGTGCACTCTCTATTCTTTCCATTGCTCTATTTGTTTATTTATTTCTGTACCAAAAACAAACAATCTTAATTTCTATGACTTTATGATTAATCTTGATGTTTGGTAGGGCAAGTCCTTCAATCTTGTTCTCCTTTTTCAGGAGTGTCTTAGCCATTCCTGGCCCTTTGTACTTCCATTAAAATTTTACAAAAAGCTGAATGTCATTCCAATTCTTTCTTGGACCCTCCCCAATCTCACTTTCTTCCTACCGTTTCACTGAACCTGCTGTGACCAAGGTGTCCAAAGCCCTTCCATTGTCAGATCCACTGTTCTATTCCCAGTCCTCACTTTTCTTGACCTCTTCGCAGCATTAGACAACTGTTAACTCTTTCCTTCATGAAAGACTGTTCTTCATTCAGTGTCTATAATATTTTTTCACACACACTCTCCCGGTTTATCTCCTACTTCACTAGCTGCTCCTTTTAGTCTCCTTTGCTGGATTCTTCTCCTCTTCCCAACTGCCAAATGTTGGAAATCTAACCACACCATTCCCATCCAACCCAGAGCTCAATCCTTAAATCTTTGTTATTTTCTTCCTATACTCACTCTATATGGTTATTTCATCTGGTTCCACAGCTTTAAAACAGCAACTTCTAAATGTACATCTCTAGCCCAAATCTTTCCTCTGAATTCCAAATTCATGCATATAAATGCCTACTTGATATCTCCAGTTGGATGTCTGTTAGGTATTGGACATCCAATATGTATCTCAAACTTAATATTCAAAACTGAACTTTTATTTTTTTCCCAATACGAATGATTTATTGAGCCAGCCCAGCTACAGCTTGGCTTCACTTTTTGTTTGTTTGTTTGTTTATCGCAGTAACATTGGTTTATAACATTGTATAAATTTCAGGTGTACATCATTATACTTCTATTTCTGCATAGATTACATCACGTTCACCACCCAAATACTAATTACAACCCATCATCACACACATGTGCCTAATTATCCCTTTTGCCCTCCTCCCTCCCCTCTTCCCCTCGGGTAACCACCAATCCAATCTCTGTCTCTATGTGTTTGCCTGTTGTTGTTTTATCTTCTACTTATGAGTGAGATCATACGGTATTTGACCTTCTCTCTCTGACTTATTTCACTTTGCATAATACCCTCAATGTCCATCCATGTTGTCACAAATGGCTGGATTTCATCGTTTCTTATGGCTGAGTAGTAGTCCATTGTGTATATATACCACAGCTTTCTTATCCATTCGTCCCTTGATGGGCACTTAGGTTGCTTCAAAGTCTTGGCTATGGTGAATAATGCTGCAGTGAACACATGGGTGCATGTATCTTTACACATTGATGTTTTGAAGTCCTTTGGATAAATACCCAGCAGTGGAACAGCTGGATCATACAGTAGTTCTATCCTTAATTTTTTGAGGAATCGCCATACTGTTTTCCACAGTGGCTGCACCAGTTTGCACTCCCACCAGCAGTGTAT